GAGAATGGAGCAGAATGACTTTCTAGCTGGAGGGTGCTTCTAATATTCAACCCCATTAACCTCAGGAAATCCTGTGAGGCAGGATTCACTGTCAGGCCCATTGTATTAATAAAGTACAGAACTCATAAACAACAAGTGACTTGGCCAAGGGCATCCAGTAAATAAGTAACAAGGGCATTCCAACCCACCTCCCAGGTAGGTCCCTTCAAGCCATCACTGGTACAGCTACTCTTTTAGAAAGTTAATCATTGCATCACTGGAAGGTTGGTTTACCTGCTCTTGGCTTACTGCCTCCTAGTTACTGTTTAGCTAATATGCATGGGTGGTCAAAGTAGCCATGTGAGTTTTATTCCCCCTCAAACTGACTTTGCCCTTCCTTGCTCCTTCCTCTTCTTTCTTAATAGTGGGATTTGTATCCTATTTGCAAACCTCTCTGTACAGGTTGCTCTAAGTCTGCTAGTTCAAAGTAACTTTGAAGCTCAGTTCCCCACAACTTCCATCCCATGAACACATATCTTGTATTAATAAAGAAGTCTGTGAGCTGGGCACATAAGTCATTTGGTAGAGTACTAGCCTTGGTTCAATCCTGCTCTATATAAATGGGGTGTGACATAAACTAGGCACCGTGGTACACACCTGTAAAGTCAACACATGGGAAGTAGATAGGAGGGTCAGAAGTTGAAGGTCACTCTCAACTTTGTGTCAAGTTGAAGGCTAGGATACCTGAGACCCCGTCTCAAGCAAATAAACAAAGAAATAAGTAATTAAGGATTTTTATTTATATTTATTTATTGATTGATCTTTTTGAGACAAGGTCTCCCTGTAGCCCCAGCTGTCCTGGAACTCACTATGTAGACCAGGCTGGCCACTCACAGAGATCTGCCTGCCTTGCCTCTGCCTCTGGAGTGCTGGGATTAAAGGCATGCACCACCACGCCTGACTAATTAAAAAGTCCAAAGTGAGGTCCTGGTATATTAAGACAATAATCCATAGTCACAATGGATAAGGTGGCCCTAATCCAAGGTTGAACAGACAGTTGACAGACAAATGTCCTTGCAGAAGCACATTCTATATGAGGTTGAGGTACCTCTGTGCAAGCTTATAATTCTGGAAGAGAATGTTGTGACAACATAAGACAATTATTTTAAGACCCTTCCTTCAAAACCTCCTAGCTTTATGTATTTATTAGTTAGGACTGACACCAGCAACTTCATTTTGATCTTGACAACTTTTAAATTCTCTCAACTGCATACTAGGTAATACTGGAGAATGAGTGTTGTTTTTCTTAAGTGTAAACATAGTATTATGATGGTAGATGTTCTAGTTTGTTTCTCCATTGCTGTGACATAATACTCTGACCAATACCAACTTGGGGAGGAAAGGGTTTATTTGGCTTACATCTTCTGGGTGACAATTCATCAGGGAGCCCAAGGTAGGAACCCAGGGCAGGAAACTGGAGGCAGGAGCTGAAGCACAGGCCATGGAGGATCACTGCTTACTGGCTTGCTCCCCTGGCCTATGCTCAGCCTGCTTTCTTATATAATACAGAACAACCTGCTCAGGGGTAGCACCACCCACAGTGAGCTGGGCCCTCCCACATCACTCAACAATCAAGAAAATACCCCACAGACATGGCCACAGGCCAGTCCAATTGAAGATCTACCTCTACCCAGTTGTGTCAAGTTGTCAACTAAAGCTACCCAGCAAGCACAGTAGAGAATTTATTTATTTATTTATTTTATTTTTTTGGTCTTTTTGGGACAGGGTCTCCCTGTAGCCCCAGCTGGCCTGCACTCGTTATGTAGACCAGACTGGCCTTAAACTCACAAATCTGCCTGCCTCTGCCTCCCGAGTGCTGGGATTAAAGGCATGGGCTACCATGTCTGGCAAGAATATATTTATTTTTATGATCTACTTGTTGAAACATTTAGGAGAGTCACATCTGCAAGTCATTTTCTTTTGGAGACTCCATACTCAAACTAGGCTGGCCTTGAACTCCCAGAGATCTGCCTGCCTCTGCCCTCTGGGGTTAAAGGTGTGCTCCCCTACACCTAGCTTCCAAGTCACTTACAAATGATCTAAAGAAAGCAGTAAACTTCACACTTGACAGAAAAAGACAAAGCAAATACTGCAAAATGGAAACAGCTGATGAACACTATGTGGTGGATGAACACTGAAGAATTCACTCGTTCTGGTTTTTGGAAGCATTACTAATAAAAAGGTGGCTGGAGAGATGGCTCAGCAGTTAAAGGTACTTGACAACTGGTTTGATGGAGGGGGGGCAGGGCACAGGCAGACAGGACACATGGTGGAAAGAACTAACTCCACAGGTGGGCAGGTGCCTCTCACCACACACAAAATTAAAAAATTAATGTGAAAAAAATGTTTAAAGATGGAGGAAGAGATGTTCCAGTGGTATAGCTCAAGGTGCTGTGGCCTAGGTTGGTTTCTTTTGCGTCTCAGACCTTTATTTCCTTACCTATAAAACAGGCCTAGCCTGGCATCGTGGCGCAGGCCTTTAATCCCAGTACTTGGGAGGCAGAAGCAGGCGGATCCTTGTGAATTCAAGGCCAGCCTGGTCTACATAGTGAGTTCCGTGCCAGCTGGGGCTACAGAGAGACCCTGTCTCAAAAAAAACAAAAACCAACCAACAAACAAAAAGTCTGGATTAAAAGTGTACGTCCCCGGGGCCAGCTGCCCAGGGCTGTGGTGCTGCTGCCATTATTATTATGACAATCTTTCAGCACAGTGTCCGGTGCTGAGTGGCTTTGGAGGGAGCAATTTTCTGGGTTTCCCCATCTCCGGTCGCTTTAACGCAGGCTCGAGCGGTGGGCGGGGCCGCGGAGCGCGGGCTGAGGGAGTGGGCGGGGTCTTCTCTGAATTAAGCAGAGCTGGTTCAACGTACCAATCGTGGAACGGAAAGCAAAAGCGGGCAACCGTGGACAGGTCCCTGCACTCAGATGCCTAGGCGGCGCCCGGCCTCGTAGGGGCGTGACTGCCCGCACAGCCACGCCCCCCAGTGGTAGCCCGCGTAGCCGGCTGGGTGGGAGGGAGGGTTAAGCCGAAGAGACCTGAGGGTGGTGGCGGGGAGGAGAGAATGGCGACCTTCCTCTGCCCTCTTCAAAATTTTCTTCAGTGAATAGGTGTTATTTTAGTAGTGAGAACCTCATTTGTACTTTAACTCCGAGAGTTAAATACTGAACACACCAGGAGTACCGAAAGCAGAGCTCAGATATTGATGACTGGAAAAAGGTATTAGGTGATATCAAGAACTTATCATTTTGCCAGACGTGGTAGCACACGCATCTGATGGGAGGCAGAGGCAGGCGGGTCTCTGTGAGAATGGGGCCAGCTTGGTCTACATAGCCAGCAAGTTCCAGACCAGCTGAGGCTAAAGAACCAAAACCAAAACCAAAAAACTAATAACTTTGCTGGAAGTGATAATGGCTTGATGAGGCATAAAATTAGCAACATAAATAACATACCGAGGGGCTGGGAATGTAGTCCAGTTGCAGAATGCTGGCCTAGCATGTAAGTACTGGGTTTGATCCCTAGGACCACACAAACAAGTTGTGGTACATGCCTGTAATACCAGCACTCAGGAGGTGGAGACGGGAGGATCATACTTTCAAGGTCATTCTCGGCTACATATTGGAGGTCAGCCAGGGATACATCAGGCTCTTGTTTCAGAGAAAAAAGGTTATTTTGGAGATGAATACTGGGGTATGTGTATATGTGAAACTGACAGTCTGCCAATTGCACACTAACAAAGAGTAACTGTGGGTTTGGCTGTCACAAAACTGCCTGCCTAGAGCGAAGTTTTAGCTGCCACTTAGTGTTAGAAGTTATTTTCACCCAGTCTATGGTGAGAATTTGGAGCAGTCTGCAGTGGCCTAGGTGGAGAGGAAGTCTCTCCATCCCACCCTCCTTAAGGTATTTGGCCTAGAAGAGGGTCTGTTGTAGCTCTTCCAGGTTCATTTCTTTCCGGATCTCCACTTCTTCAGTAATCTCTGGTACCTTGTTGGCCTGCAGGGTAAGCTCCTGTATCACAAAGCCACCCGAGGAAAACTCCTTTCTCCATCCTCACCACTTAGTTTTCAAATCCGTCTTCCAACTGTTGGGACAGTGAGTCATAAAATGAAGCTCTAATTCCTATTCATTCTCTGAACTTTCTGCAACTTTTGGTCGGTTTGCAGTTGTGGTTTTTTTTTTTTTTTTTTTTCGGTCTTTTTGAGACAGGGTCTCCCTGTAGCCCCAGCTGTCCTGGCACCAGGCTGGCCTTGACCTCACAGAGATCCGCCCGCCTCTGCCTCCCGAGTGCTGGGGTTAAAGGTGTGCTCCATCACGGTTTGCGGTTTTTAAAACAAGTGGGACACGGGGGACAGTAGCCTGACAAGGAGACCGTGCAGAAAACTGCACCCGAGCCCTTTCCACGTCACTTAGTTTGACGCTTACAAAGTAGCGCACTTTTTACAGGAATCCTCTCGTTTAACGTCCTGTCCACTTTATTAACCCCACAAGGGTAAGCACGGTTACAAGTCCCATGTTACGAATGGGGGGGACAACGAGTCGCGGGAAGTGGAACTGTGGGGCTCAGCTCTCCCTGTGGGGCTTGCCCGGTCCGGGCTGATTCTCCTAAAAATCTGCCTCGCGAACTCCGCACCCCCACACTAGGGCAGCAAAGAAGACAGTCACGGCAACGCATCCGGTGCAGCCAGCAACGTTCCTCAGGATTTGGCACCAACCTCAGCCGCCCCGCGTTCCTTGCGGCCCGGTTCGGAGGCGTTTCCGCGGAGGTGGGATCTTCGGCGCTCTCCAATCGCCGCGCCTCCCGCAATCCCAAACGGTTCCGGCCCAGCGAGAGCCCGCGCGCGCGAGCAAGGCCGGCGCAGCGGTCCGGGAAGGCGGCCTTTCCGCTGCCCACAGGCATCGCCCGAGCGCCCTGCGCTTGAATCTCCCGCGCGCTGTCTGGAGGTACACGTGGCCAGTCTGGTTCAATGGGAAGCGCCGGCCACGCCCCTCCGGAGCGCGTCATTCACTGGAGATTTAAAGAGCGCAGGTTCGGGAAGCCGCCGGTGCTTCTGGCTCTAGTTGCTGCTCTCCTCTCTACCTCAAGCTTTCGCCTCCGCCATGCTCTCCGTCCGCGTCCCGCTCGCCACCATCTCCGACCAGCAGCAGCTGCAGGTGTCGCCGCTAAAGCGACTGAGCCTGGCAGACAAGGAGAACACGGTGAGGATTTGGAGACGAACCCTGGTGTGGCTGGCGGGGCCGGCGGGGCCGGCGGGGCCGGGAGGGTGGAGGGCTCCCCGCGTTCACGCACGCACGTCTCCCTGCAGCCCCCGTCCCTCAGCGGGACCCGCATCCTGGCCAGCAAGGTGGCGAGGAAGATCTTACAGGACCCCGCCGAGCTGGGGCTGAGGGGCTGAGGGGCTGAGGGGCTGAGGGGCTGAGGGGCTGAGGCAGGTACCGGAGCCGCCGGCAGGGGCGCCCGCTCTTGGCGCCAAAGCTGCATTGTCTCAGCTGTCTGCACTGCTCATCGCCTTTCCCGCCAAAGTGTCTCCCCAACCCCCACCCCTCCCAGAGTGCCCTCCTTCGGCCGATCTGTCAGTCCTGTAGTGCTTCGTGTTATATATAGTCACAGTCAAATAGCATGCCTCGGGACAAGTAACGCTTTTCCACTGAACCACACAAAATTGCCAATCGTCGAAAGAACTTGGTCTGGAAAACCAGCCATTTCATATGGTTCGCTCAAGCGCTCTTGGGATATTTTTCTCACCCGACAGGAAAGTAAAGTACCTGCCCCCAGCGTGGATGAAGAACCACTATTGAAAGAGAACCCCAGGCGCTTCGTCATCTTCCCCATTGAATACCATGACATCTGGCAGATGTACAAGAAAGCTGAGGCCTCCTTTTGGACTGCGGAGGAGGTAGGTAATCATTCTGGGTGTGCTGTTGTCAAGAGACCCCTGCATGGCCGGCAGGGCGTTTAAGACACTCTTAGATTCCACTTGAGTGGTTGCCCACCGAGCTTTGGCAAAAGGAATTCTGGATGTGTGGAATATAGTCATTAGGGGGTGTAGGGACTACAATTTAGAAGTGTATGTGAGTTCCTGCGCACTTAACCTTGCTAAGAGTGTGAACTTCTAAAACTTTAGGTGGATCTTTCCAAGGACATCCAGCACTGGGAAACCCTGAAGCCAGAAGAGAGATATTTTATATCTCATGTTCTAGCATTCTTTGCAGCGAGTGATGGCATAGTAAATGAAAACTTGGTGAGTTTGCACAAAATGGCTGTAATTCACTTAAAATGATTTAAGGTGGATCTAGTACTTATCTTTTGATCTTAAATGCTCTGAATGGGGGCTGGAGGGATGGTTCAGTAGTTAAGAGCACTTCCTGCTCTTGCAGAGGACCTGAAAGGTTCCCAGGGCTCAAATGGGGCAGCTCACAAACCACTTGTGATGCCATCCAGCTCTAGGGCATGTGACCTGACACCCACCTCTGGCCTCTTGTGTGCTCATACCCCCCCCATACAAGCATGCACATATAATTAAAAATAAGTAAAATAATGCTAAATGCTGTGAATGTGTGAATGGATATATCGGGCATTTCCTCTTTTGTAACATCTTACAGTTATCCTGGCTTTTTTCCCCTCTAATGCTGAGTAGTCATGATACCTTGTACCGCATTTATTTTCCTTTTTATGGCGTAAGCAAGGTCTTACTGTGTATCCCTGGCTGGCCTTGAATTCCCAGAGATCCTCTGTTTCTGGAGTGCCCAGTTGAGCAAACCTTTCAATGGCACAAAGGGATTGTTCCAGTTTAACTTTGTATTTTATTGCCACTAGGTGGAGCGGTTCAGCCAAGAAGTTCAAATTACCGAAGCCCGCTGTTTCTATGGCTTCCAAATTGCCATGGAAAACATACATTCTGAAATGTACAGTCTTCTTATTGACACTTACATTAAAGATCCCAAAGAAAGGTGAGTACCCAAATGGTATGCCAAGATGTTTTAGACTTGCTCACTGTAGTTTTATTTCAAGTATTTTGGTTCATAAAACGGTTGCAGAATGACTAAGCAGATGGTGGTAAACATTTCTAGCACCCAGAGTCATGAGCGCTCTAGGCACAGGAGCCTAAATTTGCCTTGTATTATTGAGTCACTTAAATTAGATCCAGTATCTGTGTGTGGTAGCTCATGCTGTAATCTTAGGACCTGGTGGGCCAAAGCAGTAGCACTGCCAAGTGTTCAAGATCAGACAGGGCTAAAGAGAGAGCCTGCAGCCAGTGATGGCGCATGGCTTTAATCCCCAACTCTTGGGAGGCAGAGGCAGGTGGATCTCTGAGTTCAAGGCCAGCTACATATTCAAGGCAATATTGAGCCAAGAGATTAATTTAGAACAGTACAGCATTACTTTATATTGGATTGTAGAAAAATAGAGGCAGCTGAAGGTCTTTATGTTATGGAGGTAGGTTAAAGAGAAGGGGAGGTTGGGAATCCAGTGTTGGGGATGGTCAGCATTAGGATAAAAGTTAGCAGGATTTGAAGAAACTAGGGTCAAGAGATTTGGATAACTTTAAAAAAGTAATAACATTTCATTTGAAGGACAGCCCATTTAGTGGGATAATAACGTAGTAGTTAAGGTTTATGGTTTTGCCAGGCATGGTGGCACACACCTTTAGTCCCAGGCTAAGGCAGGTGGATCTCTAATTTCAAGGCCAACCTGGTCTCCATAAGGAATCCAGGCCAGCTGAGGCTACAGGGAGATCCTGTCTCAAAAAGACAAAAAAAAAAGATTTTTGAGAATTTTAAATTACAGAGGAAGAGCTGACCTTGAATGTTTCCTGTCTTCCCTTTGAGGCGGGGAGTTGGTAAACACATTTGGCCTCCCTGTCAGCTCTTGTTCACAGGTTGGGGTCTGAGGTCTGTGGTATCATAGCTCATGCTAGACTTTTGCCTCTAGGGAATTTCTCTTCAATGCCATTGAAACAATGCCTTGTGTGAAGAAGAAGGCTGACTGGGCCTTGCGTTGGATTGGGGACAAAGAAGCTACATATGGTAAAGACACTCACCTTTCTTAAAACTGACTTCATTTTCCAAGTAATGTTACTGGGTTGTTGGTCCATGCTGTGAATGCCCAGTTTCTCACTAGGGACATTTTGGTGTTGATTCTTATCAGGAGAACGTGTTGTAGCTTTTGCTGCTGTGGAAGGAATCTTCTTTTCTGGTTCCTTTGCATCAATATTTTGGCTCAAGAAACGAGGACTGATGCCTGGTCTTACATTTTCCAATGAGCTTATCAGTAGAGATGAGGTGAGTCTAAAATAATGGTCCCAACTTGCAGCCCTTAGACACATGCTTCTGTGTCTTTTGACAAGACAATAGACACAGAAACCAGGTGACATCATAGCCACTGTTTTCTTTTGGTCCTGGAGCACAACCCAGAGCCTCATGCTAATCAAACACTGAGCCATGCTCCCAGCCATACTCCCAGCCATGCTTTACATTTAATGTGTGAAATCAACCATACATACACTTAGCAAAGAACAAAAGTACCTTAAGTAATGATGTCCTGAAACTACTTTTATTAGTAAAGTGAATTTGTATACACCTATTATCCTGCTAGCTTGCGTAAAACAAAGAGTACTTAGGAATTTTAGGGGATTTTTCCTTTTGTCTGGGGATCATAAAAGATCTTTGTACTTCCAAATTAGTTGGTAAGTGTCCTTATGAAGTAAGGCTTTGCTTGGGTTCCATGTATGACCTTGTAGGCACTTGGATTAGCCTGGGAAAAGGGAGGTGAAGGTGCCCATGTTTTCTAGTTAGTTAAATCTGAAAAGTAAGGAGCAGGAACCCTACCATTCCTGTATCCCAGAGATCAGATGAGAAAATCTTTACATTATTGTATAAAGAGATAAGCCTTAGGGCTTAGTGGAGTGTCCTAAGGTGAAGATTTACTTCCTTTGAAATTGTATCACTAATTTCTGAATCTCTAAAGGCTAACTGGCCTTTCTGGGTAATAGCCAAATTAGCTTATGGCTGAATAGTAGGTATGAATAGGCCTGGCCCTATGTAATGTAGGTGTCAGCTTTGATGGCCTTGAATGGGGTTAGTTAGCAGAATAGACAGTTGGGCACTTGCCTGTTTTTAGCAAACCCCCTTCCCCCCTTATTTTTTATTTGAAGTAAGTAGTCTAGTCCTGGCTTGCCTGAAACTGTATAGACCAAGCTGACCTTAAACTTTGATCTTTCTGCCTTGGCTCCAAAGTGCTAGAATTAAAGATGTATATTGCCACTCCTGGCTTTAACACCTTCCTTTAGAGAAGTCTTTAGATCAGTCTTTAGAGCCCTACAGCGATCTTAAACTTTTCTTCCAGGGTTTGCACTGTGACTTTGCCTGTCTCATGTTCAAGCACCTGGTACACAGACCATCAGAGCAGAGAGTAAAAGAAATAATTGTCAATGCTGTGAGGATAGAACAGGTGGGTGATATATAGGGACTGCTCTTGGTTTGGAGGGGGCTTGGTCCTCAAGCTTCAGTGTGTTGAGAAGCTGTGCTTTGGTCTCTAGGAGTTCCTCACGGAGGCCTTGCCTGTGAAGCTCATTGGGATGAATTGCACTTTAATGAAGCAGTACATTGAGTTTGTGGCAGACAGGCTTATGCTTGAGCTGGGCTTTAACAAGGTAAAGTATTACTGTTTACGGCCTTCTAATTTTTTTGAAACTTGTCTTCAGCATTTATATCTTGATGTGAACTTTTCCAGATTTTCAAAGTAGAAAATCCATTTGACTTCATGGAAAATATTTCACTGGAAGGGAAGACCAACTTCTTTGAGAAGAGAGTAGGGGAATATCAGAGGATGGGAGTGATGTCAAGTCCGACAGAGAATTCTTTCACCTTGGATGCTGACTTCTAAGTAAATTGAACATGAGCTCTCATTTTGCTGATTTATCTCCCCTTATTAAAAAGCAGCAAAAATGAATCAACTGGCTACACCATAATTTGACATTAAATTCATCAGTAGGCATCTGTAAAACTGTGTAGCTACCTCAAAATCCTGTACTGAGTGTCACCTACAAAAAGGACAAAGGATATTTAAAACAAAAGCTACTTGGATTCTTACGGAAGATCTTGGCCTGTTGACTTTTGCAAATAGGTCGGCCAGCTATGATGTCCTCATAGCACACGGCAGCTGTCCAGGCTGTACTGTGAGGCGACCCTCAAGTGAGCAGGATTAAACATCAGTTATTACCACAAGGCAGTTTAAAGATGTCAGCCTCGCTCGCTGCTTCTTGCAGACTATAAAGTTTACCTAACTAGTTTGTAAATAAAACTGGCACTTTGCACACACTGTACTGTCAAGGGGAAAGCCTGGTTTATTTGGTTTCTATACTAAGTACAGTGTTTTATTTACCGCTAATAGCCCCTTCAAAATCTAAGTGACTTAAAGTTTAGTGTTGTAATCACCTAATTTCTAAAGATTTTTTCTTTAATGAATTGAAATGCCTTTTTAATTGACTTTGAAGGCAGTCCTGTGCATAGCTAGATCTGTTGCCAGTCATGCACTGGATGTATGTGTGGCCTTGTAGCCCAGGTTTTGTGCTAGGGCATTTCCTGCTGCAGCAGAGGTGACCTTGTAACTTTTAAGTCACTAGAAATTTAGACATGACTTAAGACGTTTGCTAGAAGTGGGCCTGTCTGAATTTGTGTGGGGGGCAGTAATATTCGTCTATAAGTTGTACTTTGCCTCATTTGTAGTTGGTATGGAAAGAGTCTTGGATCAGATCCTTGAACCATCCTGACCCACCTAGGATCTTGATCCTGTTCCATGGTAAAGCCAAGATTGAAATTGGTTCTCCTAAAGTTGGATTGATTCTCATTTTGTTTGAGTAGGTACTATTGAGACTTAATCCACTTGCATTTATTCCATGTCTCTTAAATTAGAAGTTTTTTTTAAACTATACATCCTTTTTATTAGATTTTACCTGTTTATACCTTTAAAAATTGCCTGATGTTTGCAAATGCTCAGGAGATGTTACTGTAAATTCTAACATTTGCCTAAATATGAGTGTCACTTGGTGATTTTTTTATTTTTATTTTTTTTAAAGACGGGGCTTTAACTGTGTAACTGGCTTGGCCTGGAACTTGCACAGGTAGACTAGGCTGGCTTCAAACTTGTCTATGTCTCCCAAGTACTGGGATTAAGGTGTGTGCCACCATGCCTGGCTTCACCTAGTGAACTAGTACTGTGTGAGCTTTTAGTGCTGTGTGAGGTATTAATATGTGTTACATTCAAATATAGTTTCAGACAGAAATATAGACCAGTAGATACAGCTAACAGCCAGTTTGAAGTAATCTGCTTTTTTAGGGAACAAAAGCCAGGATATACATAGTGAGTTTGAGGCCAGTCAGGTTTACTTACCTAAGTGAGACTGTCTCAAAAAACAAAAAAGGCAAAATATATTACAAAATGCATAAGTCACACTGATCTTTTGCCTCCACTTGTTAACTGATTGTGTTGTATATTGGCTGTTTGGCCCCCAATCAGTTTACATTTATTGTACAATTTTATAATTCCTGTAATATGAGACCTTTTTGTACCTTTTAAATTATTGTTACCTAAAGTTAATAAATTCAAAGTCTAAAATTGGATGCCATGCAAGTGTTTGAATGATTTAAATGAAACTATTCTTAATGTCAATTCCTTGGGTAAAACTTACATTTAAATTTCAGAAATTTTTAAATAGAGGCTTGTAAGTTTATTTGCTTGTCAGTTCTGGGGGAGATTTTCCTCAGGTCTGTTCCAGCACAGGGCATATGGGAGACAGATAAACGAGGAAGCTGATGCCTGAGCCAGGACTGAGTAACAAGCCAACCCCCCAATTTTCTTTTAAATTTTGAGACAGTCTCTATAGCCCAAGCTAGTAGCATCAAACTCATGATCCTGTCCTAGCTTCTTAAGTGCTGGAATTATAGATTTGTGCCACCATACCTGGCTTTTTAGTTTTACATTTTCTGTGTGTGTGTGTGTGTGTGTCTGTGTGTCTGTGTATATGTATGTGTAATGGTTTCACTGTGGCCTAGGACGGCCTTGAATTTTAGGGTTTTTTTTCCTAAGAAGAGTTTCATATTCTGGCCCAGCCACTTCAGAGCCTCTGCTTTTTCATTTCAATCTGCTTTTCCGTCTCAAAAGCAAACAGCTAGTAGATTTCCAGGCTGGCTTCTGGCTCAGCTGTCCTAACCCTGTCCAGAAAGGTCCTTCTCTATCCATCTCGCCCATATTCCTATAACCTTTGAAAACTGGAATTACCTGTATACTCTGAAACCAGCCATGCACTGAGAGCCCCTACTCTGTTGCTCCTTCACTTAGCTCTTTGTCATGTCAGGTTCTCTTGGCCTGAATAACGTGAAATGAAGTGTTTGGGGGGTGGGGAGATGTCTCAGAAGGAGATGAGTTCTGTGTCTCAGGAGCCTTGTTTTTGTACCCCAATAGTGTACAGTACCAACTGACTTCCAAGTTGTAAGCAGACCCACTGGGGAAGTACAGGCTAGCTTCAGGGGGATCTACTGTTAACAGCTTTACTGTGGCAGGATTGGGGCTTATTTGTCCTGCTGTCACCCTGTGCTGCCATCCATGCTTTGTAGAAAGGCAATGGTACCACCGGGAGAGTCAGTTGGCAGGCCAGACCTCTGAGAATTGCTTTGGTAGGTAGGTAGTCATGGTTTTAACCCAGATCTATTGAATCAACCTTGGGTACAAGCTGGAAGCCAGAGTTTTCACTGGGTGTGCATCATTTCCTGGGGGCTTGGTTCATGGATCCCACTTCTGAGGAAAAAAAGGTGCCTTGTGTTGTGTTTTTTGAGAGTCTCACCATGTAGCCCTCCTGGCTTGAAATTTACCAAGTAACCTGGAACTCTGCAATCTGCCTGTCTCCAGAGCTGGGATTAAAGGCATATACCACCATACCCAGCCCTGCTCAAAAGAGTTTTAATTAGATGTGGTTTTTGATTGCGAAAGCTCCAGACTAGCTATGTAAGGTTGTATCTCATTCCATGGGAACCAATAGAGCTCTGCTTATGTGCAGAAGTGGAGCCTGCCTGCTGAGGGCAGATCTGTGAAACCTTTTCCTCCTTTCCCTTCGGTCTACCATGTATTGTGATGGCCACTAAGAGTACTTGCTTTTTGCAAAATGGAAACAAGATTGCTAACACCATTTGGCTGAGGAGCTACCTCTGGAGATCTTTAATGGTTTGACTGCTTAGCAAGATGTCCTAGCCCTTGACAGTAAGTGGCTACAGGTTTAAGGCAGCGGGGTTGTGTGGCTTGTGCTGTTCAGAACAGACAGCAGACAGCACCTAGTATAGATACCTTCCTGGTGTCTGGGCACTGGAAAAAATGGCTGTGTTTCCCTCCATCCCTCCGCACCCAGCCATGGGCAGGCCCAGGCCCCTGCTTTTTACTCTTAGGGTTGGTCTGGTAGTTTTCAGTCAGGAGTCAAAGGCACTAGGTTTTCTTTTTTTTTTTTTTTTTTGAGACAGGGTCTCCCTGTAGCCTGTAGCCCCAGCTGGCTTGGAACTCCCTATATAGACCAGGCTGACCTTGAACTCACAGAGATCCTGCCTCTGCCTCCCAGGGCTGGGATTAAAGGCATGTGCCATCACACCCAGCCATGCTAGGTTTTATATCTAAGAGATCAGTTAGAATGTTGGGAGACAGCTGCTGAGGGATGGGGCTGCCTAGCTGAGAGAAAGTGGAGTTAAATTTTCTAAAGCTCTTTGTTCCCGGCTATCAGACCATTCTGTTTTTGCTTTTGTTTTTTTGTTTTTTTGTTTTTTTTTTTTTAAAAAGGCCTGGTGTGGTGGTGCACACCTTTAATCCCAGCACTCGGGAGGCAGAGGCAGGGGATCTCTGTTGAGTTCAAGGCCAGCCTGGTCTCCATAGTGAATCCAGGACAGCTAGAGCTATGTGTGGCCAGGTGTGCTGGCACATACCTTTATCCTAGAGCTCCAGACAGAGGCAGGCAGATCTCCGGGAGTTCAAGGGCAGCTTGGTCTATATTCCAGGCCAGCTTGGATTACAGAGTGAGACTCTGTTTTAAGAAAAGGATTTGTGGGGCTGGAGAGATGGCTCAGTAGTTAAGATCACTGGTTGTTCTTGCAGAAGACCCAGGTTCAAATTCCAGCACCCACATGGCAGCTAACAACTGTTAACTCCAGTTCCAGGGGATCTGACAGTTTCTTTTGTCCTCAGCGGGCATTGCATGACACAGGTACACTTACCTGCATGCAGGCAATACACTCATACACATAAAAAAAAAAAAAAAATTAAAAGAAAAGGATTTGTGGCTGGGCATGGTGGCCCAGCACTTGGGAGGCAGAGGCAGGCAGATCTCTGTGAGTTCATGGCCAGCCTGATCTACATAATGAGTTCCAGGTAGCTGGGGCTACAGGGAGACCCTGTCTCAAGAAGAGACAAAAAAAGATTTGTATATGACATAAACTTCAAGTAGATTTTGCCCACTGAATCTGAGAGCCTGTGAACTGGCCACAGACTGACTGGCAACTGGGGTTTCACAGGCTCCAGTTATCCCTGGGTTAAGCAAGAACTAGTGGTCCACATCGTTCTGTTTTCCTTGGTGACCCTGCTGGCCAGAAAATGAGGCATGGAACCTTGTCTTTAACAAGGAATTTCCAGGGTGCTAACCAACTGGGGCCTCTTGGGATTTGGAAGTGAGTCACAGATCCTTGGGGAACACATGAATTGCTTTCCATTGACCTCTTTCTTGGTTTCCTACTCTTGCCTCCTCAGCTCTTCTCTTAGACCATCATTCTTCCATCCCTGGCTCTCTACCATGCAGTTTCCTGTGTGCTCCCCTGGGAGTACTGGGGTGGGACAACAGTGCTAGACCACGGCTTGAAGCTGCTTCCTAGCCTGCTCCTGCTGCATTTAACTGACCTCTAGGCTGCACCTGATTCTGGGGTGGTTCTGTCCCCACCGGGTACTGGCCTTGTCCTTCTGTGTGTGGCTATGGGGTGGGTGCCAGGCCAGAGGAAGGCATTGACCCTGAGTGGTAGTGGGCTCCTGATTAAGTGACTTGGCGGTGGAGCCACAACAGCAGGACCTGAGTGGATCCCAAAGGGAAATAGACCCAGGCCAGAATCACTGACAGCATTAGCAGCATTAGCATTAGCTAGAACAGTCCCTCAAAACTGCTGAGCTTGGCTTTCAGGGTGGGCCAGTGATATGGGATGTCCCACTTGGGTGTCCCACAGGCTTGTTCCAAACTGTACCCTAGTTCTCAGTTCTCTCATCAGTTTCCTAGTTCAAGGAATGGAGCCATCTCTACTTCACTCTGACCCTCCCCTCCCCCCATAAGACACACACTCTAGGACAGGGCAAATCTAGGTCTCTGGTAGCTGCTATTTTCACATGTGGCCAGGAGGGGGAGCTCCTGCTATCCCACATCCCTCACCAGGCACCATGCAGCTCCATCCTATTGCCTCACCACAGCAGCCCCACCCACGGTCAAGCCCTATAGCCCCACTTTGGTCCTCCTTCAGTCCAGAATGATCTCTGGGGCTGTAGATCAGAAGATGCCACAGTGTTGTATGACCCCTCCCCCCATCGTATTTCACAAGGCACCCGGCGCCACCCTCCAGTCCAGGGCCTTCACCTTGCCTACCTCACCTTGAACCTCCCTGAACTTAAGCCTTTCTCATACTGCCGCTTCCTGTCTCCCACTTTTTGTCTGGCCTTCACTCTTCTCTATAAGCTCTGAACCTTTCAGGCCTCAATTTAGAGGCCTCTGGGACCCTTAGACCCAGCCAGGCCAGGTCAGGACCCCACACTCTCTGTGTCCCCTATGTCTCCCAGCAGTGTGGAGTTGAGTATATCATCCCACGAGGACTCTCAGTACATGCTTACTGAATGAATGAGGGAAAGAATGACTGACCTTCAACAGCTGCTGTGTCCAAGGGAACATGAGAGTCATGCCATAGGGACTGTAGAGCTCTTGGCCCTTAAGTTGCTAGTGGGTACACAGGGCTTCCTGCTTCCTCCCCTGCTACTTCCCTGCAGCCCTCCTTACCCATCCTGGCTGCCCTTCTAGTAGTTGTGGGTGCCAACTGCACATTTCCGTGTTCCCATCTCTCTTCAAAGGCC